AACTGTCTTCAAACCTTTTCTACAACTGGTTCTTATCTATTCATCTATTTCACGCAAATGTCACATACAATTAAATAACTACTAATTTTGAAATGACAAACAAAGTACACAGAAAAAAGTCCTACACCAAGCAGATTGGAAAAGTTAACAGAGAAAACCTTGTATGGTGAAAGATTTGAAGGAAAGACGGTTTGAAAATTGGAAACCAGAAAACATAAATTACTTAAACAAAAGACGCTAGCTACCATCATAAGGTTGAGAGTATATATGTAAGTAAATTCAAGGTTTGTATAGTTTGCTTTTTTTAATAAATTTACTTTTATTTCAGCGAACCAACTCACACACGATTGGTTGGTTAAATATAAGAAAACTAGAAACATATCACGAAAATCTACAAGAAACTTTTACCAGCATGAAGAATGAGATATATACATATATTACTACTATGTGGCATTAAATCATAGTAAATATATTATAAAGAAGTTAAAAATTAAAGAAACAAAAAGCAAGCGCACCGAACACTTTTTCCACACAACGCATGTGAAGAGAAAATTCTGAAAATAGCAAAACAAAGTCATCACACTAATCATCAGCAACATCAAAATCATCAAACACAACTAACAATAACAACATATAATAAATATGTAATTAACAACAGCGTATAAAAACGAATTTATTCAACATTTCCGCTGGCCGAACTGCAGCAGAGACTAAACACAAAAGCAGTGTTAAGCATTTTGCTGTTTCGAAAATAAACCTAGAAAAAATTTATTTCAAATAATTGCTTTTTTTAATTCTCTTTTATTATAAAGTTGACTTTTGTATTAAGCTCTATATTAAATGACCGCTGAAGCGATTTTAAGCCGAGCTTCTCCTCTAATTTGTGATTATACGAATTGATGATTTCCAAAAAGATGGAAAGTTTAACTTAATTTTTTATTTCAATAAATTCTCTTTAACTTTTTGATATTGGTCACGCCAGGATTTCAATCCAGGCCTTCCGAATAGCAGTACACAATACGAACCACTCGGCTATTGCGGCAGCGGTTTTCAAATGCCTGACATCACCAATACGACAGATTAAGCGGCTGGGGAATATTTCTCTCGCAATAAAGACGTATTCTCTCGCATTAAGGGGCAAGTGGGAAACCACATATTTCTTCCCCTGCTGGTCGAAAAAAGCCGATTATCGTACGACCATAATGCGCCGAATGAACGATGACCGTCACACACTGTAAGTTTGTGTTGAGTGCAATGGTCTTTCCTAACTAAAGAGAGAGAGGATTCTCGGAACCCCAAATGGAGCAACCTAGCTTATTTAAGGATCTCCCCGAATAAGAAATGTGTCGGGTGATCGCTGAAGAAAATTTTGTTCGAAAAATCGCCGTCCATTGCTTGTTGATCAAGCACCCAATCGACGGCTGTGCGGCGTTGTGAGTGGTCAGTTGGCTCCTACTATTGTGTTAGCTGGACTTTGTATGGTTGTAGTTCTAAGTCCAAATTGGAAATATACCATAATGTGCTGTTAGGAAGTCCCATCCCTCGAGAACGTCAAGAAAAATATACACCTCCCGGTCTTCAGCTACAATTTCACTTACAGTAGCGATATTTGAAACAGAACCAACAAAATGATGCTGCACAGGCCTTACAAGATTCGTGACCGAATCAATCTTTTCAAATTTCTCTAAAATTTTACCAATTATTTGAGCAGTAGCACGATTAAGTGCACCATAATCTTCTGTGACAGCGCGAAATGTCTGAATTTTAAGTAAAACAAAACATGTTTGGCTTGACTTTTAAGTTTAACATATCTCAAAATGCAGCGCTGTATTTTTGAAACCACAAAATGGTTGACCCTCTAGTCAAAGAAGTTGGTATACCAAGCCGCAGACAACATTTGTAAGACACACAAATGTAGAGGCAGCGAATAGTCAAATGCGCTACATACCTGACACCAGTCAACGCCGCAAAACTACAACAATAACAGCAATTATAATCAGAAAAAAAAAGTTATAAACATTAGCATTGCCTTATGCGACCGTTACATAGTTGACGTTTTGACGTCTCACCAACGGCCAGACCTGTCAAAGTGTTTGTCATGTAGTAATCTATGCAAATAAGTTGGGCGTTTATGCGGCATAAAGAGAAGACTAAAGAAGAGGCAGAGGGCAATGGGGCAGGCACGAAAGAATGAAGAAGGCTTATTGGCTTTCTTATGCCTGCGCAGTGCTGAACGTGCAACAAGAGCAGTAAATGGTATTATGAATGCTTCATAACTGCATATAAATTAGGCAGTTATACAGAAGACACTACTGAATGCCACTGCCTGCTTTAAATGCATACTTGTAGATATGTATGTACATATAACATGCATATAAATAACTGTAGTTATTGGTGTAAGACTTTGATGGGAGATGTCTCGTTCACTGGCTATTATTTCTTGCCATAAACTATTCATAAATTGTTTATTTTCTATTTGAATAAAGATTGCATCTCAGTTTAGAGTCAATCGCCTGTTTGGCTCCTCAGATATTTAAGTATATCTTGGAAAATTTTTTGATTAAAATAACTAGTAATTAACAATAGCATTTTGATTTTAGAGGCTTAATGTGGAAGATTTTAATTTGTTGTTGTAGGCTTCAATCAAGTTTTTTATAGTTAAAAATTATTTTACTCAGGCATACCTTTGGGGCTTAAATTTTATTCTTAATTGGCGTAGACACGGCCAACTCGATCATAGTCGTGTTAATTATAGCATTGCCGTCGTTTTCGTTTGAGCTCTTTGGCGCCAAATGGAAATACCAATTAAAGCCAGGTCCGTCTCTACTCGGTTTGCCCTCGTCGAGGTCTAGATTTTTCACTTCCTCGGCTCCCACCAACAGAACTGCATCGAATACTTTTACAGCTGTAGTGTTTTCAGTCAAGTAGACATAGCCAGCGCAACGGATCTCTCTTAATTCGCTGAATCATATCGAGGGCGCAATAGCGGAGTGATTTTCAATGCGTACTGCCATGCGAAAGGCAAGGGCTTGAGTCCTGCTTCGACTAACATCCAAATTTAAATTTAATTTCTTAATTGCGGTCATCAAATAAAAGCTTTTCATAAAAAACCATCAGTCACCCGGAGGTAGCTTAGTACACCCCATTTCTTTTAGGAGCCAAAACCACAAAATGAATGATGAGGTCGGCTGAAAATCGCTTCAGCGGTTACAATCTCACTTAACTCATCTATTCATTACCTGCGGTATTCGTTGACTCACTAGTACGCAGAAATGTGCCACGCAGCGGTAGTGATATGCAACTGACCGGCTGATCTACTTATTCGATACTATTCTAACTCTTCACGTGGTGGCGCTGCACACCTCACTCAATAAGGTTCAGCTCAAGCAAAGTAAGCCAGCCTCTCTTTGGCTTAGGCCTTAACTTTATTTTGACTCTTCTGAGCTGATAGTTATGGTATTCTGTTACTTGAATTTGAAGAAGTGCTATTCTACAGAATGGTGCTTAATGTAAATACTCCCTCCGCCTAACTGAAACCCTAATGGATCTCTTAGTATGTTCGAAACTCATTGCCATGTATCTCAATTTAAGTAATTTACCTCATAATTTACCATCGAAATTCTATCCAAAAAAAAAAGGCAATACATGAGGAAACATGGCTAGAAATCTCATTTTGGAGAGGCCCTGTTCGAATAAAACTGCGAAGGAAACGGTCCGGTACCGGCGGATCTAAATGACTCCTAAAGCGTGGCGGGATCTTTGAACCACATCACTGTCATGAAGCCGGTCTCGACAGTGACAATATCACGACTTGGACTTAGTGGATACAGGCAACAAGTGATGCCACAAAAAATCCCCGGTAGAATTGACAACGATGGTAATTACGAACCACCTCTCAGCGAATAAATATTCCGGAAAATTACAGACGCTGAACAGCATAAGACCGGTAGGGCATTAAGGAAATATACGAGACAGCAAAATCCACGAAAGTACTACTCCCTAACTTTCAGACTGACATCGTAGCAGCTGAGGGAAAAAGAGGAACCTTTTCTAAAAGTCAGAGATTCAGTGCAGGCACAGATCCCCCCATCCGCGTGCCAGCCTTGCCAATCGTTACCCTGGGCGTAATTCTAGAGAGTCGTTCAACCGTTTTTGCCTGTAATTAGTCTGGTTGATCCCAGGTCAATATTAAGGAATAAATTTAAGGAAAAATATATGATAAGAAATTCCTGGCCGACCGCGGACAAAGGCATAGGTACTATTAAGACCTGTCTTAAAGATAATCCAGATTATAAACCCCTTCTTTCCTACTAGATATAATGAAAGTGAAGGGAGAGGCGGATAGACCGAGAAGGCTGGTGATCCGCTCGCTGAATATAAAGTCCATTCACTCGCGACATATTAACCAATACCATGTTTTTTCTATCATTTCACATTTTATATAGTTGAGATAAGCCATAACAAGATACCTTAGAAATATTTGCGTAGAATATGTGGATGGGCTTAAGGTTTACCTTGATGTCTAGCGAACATAGCGCTCAATTCCATCGAGTTTCTCTTCTCCGTAAGGAACAACCCCAAGGCATATTTTTCCACGCTTAGGAGCTGCAAAAGCCAATCTATATAGTCGAGGTCATCTCAGGAAAATCTTAAGAAAGAATCTAATTCGACGTGATCGAACCAAACAGAGAGTACTAGGAGAGCAGGTTGCATTGGGTATTGGGTTTATAGGCAGTCGAGAACTAAGTTGTGCCTGTTTCTCTCGAGCTTCACGTTCGTGGTGAAATATATTTCGGGAGCTTTACAATTTCAATCGTAAAATGGAGGGCTCTCATTTCCATATTTTGAGTGCAATAACGCAATTATAAAATTTTTTCATTTTTTCCAAAAAATTTGGAACACCTTGTGTTTACAACTCGAATGTACATTCCTATTGTCCAAACATTCCAATGGGAATATTGAAGGGTGAAACTTCAATTTGAAATATTTTCATTATTTACATTACAAAAATAAAAAAAAATTTAAAAGCAGAAAATAGGAATAACAAAATTTTTGCATGCGTTGTGTTTTGTATTTATTCTTTACGCGCAAATCCCACAAAAATTGCCCTCAAACATTAGCCATAAGAGCAACAGCGAAAACTTTGCAAAGCAATGTCCTTCCTCAAAAAGCTAGCGCAATGTGTTATAGCAACAGTGCGAAGGAAAAATTTAACAAATGAAATATCAAATACCTTCTTCGACATCTTACGCGGCGAATCGACGAAAGTGCAAAGCGCCAAAGCGCGCTGCCCAACACAGCAACGGCAACAGCCTCGCCGTAAAAGAGACACAAAAGCGATCTATTATCGCTCACATTGCGCTAAACCTTATCCGTTGTGCGGCGTGAAGGCCGAATCACTCAAAACATGTCGGCCACAACGCACTTGGCTCTTGGATGTGGAGAAATGTTGCAATGAGCTATGCAAATGGGCACATCCACGCTTCGATGATCTCTACTACATGCCTAGCGATAAGCTGAATATGAAATATCAACGCACTTGGTGTGAATTTCAGCCAATCTATGTGCTGGAACGTGGTATATGCTGTCACGAACAAACTAACTATCCAGTAGCAAAGCGACGAAAGCCGAAAAAACCCATACCGATTTGTGAGGACATGCGTACCTGTCGACTGGCGCTGGTCTGTCGCAATCACTTGTCGAAACGTTGTGCAAAACTTACATGGCCTGGCTGCAAACCGGTGCGTGAGCCACCAGATTGTAAATTAAAGCGAGTGGACTGTGGCTCTCGACCAGCGACGCCCTATCCGTCTTTCTCTGAGTGTCGCAAAGAGAAGGTTACACCGCTGAAACCAATCGAATGTCGTTGCCTAAAATACGAGCCGCGCTGTGTGGCGCGATAAAATGCGAGCAATGAGAGTTGAAGGGGAAAGGCTCTGCAGCTTTTATGGGAAGGTGGACTTGTCAGTCATGATCGCAGCGCGTTTGAGTGCAATTTTCGTCAAATGTTAATTTCATTGCCTGCAAACTTTGTCGGTCACTAGTTTTTGAAAACTCCAATGGATTTTGATTTTTTGGAATTTTGAAAAACTAGCGTCTTTCGAAGTTTTGGGTTCCGCTCTTCCACAAGGAAACGTAAAATTTTATGTCTTTGAGTTATTAATGTAATTTGTATAGAAAAAATTGAAAAAGTCTTACTAAATAATTATTTAAAAAAAATTGTAAAATGTTGTAAGAAAATTGTAAGTGTGATAAAATTAACGGTGTTTTATTTTAAAAATTTATTGCATATATTTTTGGTAAATGTTAGTTGTGCGAAACTAAGAACCCACTCATTTTTAAAATCCTCAAGTTTTTAGTTTTAAGTTTTCACTGCCTCGTTATGCGCAAGAAAAAGAGTCAAGACAGAATGTCTTTCCATAGAAGGGAACTCCAATATAAATATCATTGACGAGTGATATGAGAGTCTGAGATATATGTTATTTTTTGAATTCACTTATTTTTCTTTCCATTTCTTTTATTTGTTCTACTTCATCTCCAAATGGATTTTTGAGACTTAAATTTGTCAGAAGTGGTTGAGTTTTAGTTCGGTGCTCAAAGACACATTTATAGAGGAAAGTATATTGACTTTGGAGTCTTTGAGTTCTGAGCGCTCAGAAATTTGTTCAAGGAAGCGATCGCCGTAACATAACATTTTAATATATTTGAAGTCTCGTAAAACAGGTTTTTTCGACGAAATAAGTTTAATTAAAATTTTATTGATAAATATGTGCGTATATAACTTCTTGGTACTCAAATATACTAAAAATGAATCATTTGCCTACCCAAAGACAGCCTTGAAAATCCGCGCGATAATAATCAAAGCCCAAATAAAATAGTTGATTGGCGGAACGGGAGTTCTTAACAGCAGCGCTTCATCTAATGAATATAATCATAGATACATACATACATATATAACTACAACAATACATACTTAAACATCCAATTACATGCTTACAAGTGTAACTAATGAGTGACTTAAGATTTTGGGGAAAAAAATTATAACTTTTTAAATACCAGTTCCCTTAACCCAAACTAAGATTTTTATGCTTAAGGCAATTCTTAGCACCGCTAATGGGCCGCAAATTACGCGTGGAAAAAATTTAATGAACAATTCTTTAATACACATACATACATACTATATAGAAATCAAATCATGTTTTTATTGCAATATAGGGTGTTTTATAAATATTTATAAATATCATTAAAAAAATACATATTCAAAAAATATATTTAAATGTCTTTTTAAACGCTCTTAATTTTTTATAAAAAAAAATATTGAAGTTCAATATTATGCCATATTTTTTGACATAGAAAAGGAATGTGAAGCAGCTCGCATTATTTTTTTTCTCAATTAATTGTCTCTCCAATGGAGATCATTTTGACTACTTTTCAAAGAATTTTCAGGTTGAAAATTTTATTTGGGCCTTAATTGCCAAAGAGCCTAAGTATCAAAAACTAAAACAGAAATCTAATCTAACAAACAAGTTGGCTCAATTATTTTGTTCACAAAACTTTCCAAGGAAATGTTAAGTAGCCTCGGCCTTTAGCATTTGAAATATGCTTATTTTACAACAAGCGGTAATTTTGAGTCCAGCAAATATAATTCAGACAAGGAGACATATATATTATTTTAAGGCTCTGTCTATCCCACTATTCTAAGGTTGCTGGTTTCTTGGGAAATAGTATTATTCTAACAAACTTGCAGATTCTCTGGGGTCATCTGATGATTTTCATAGCTTCGCTCACCCTGTATCTGCTCAAAAAAAAAACTCTTATGTTATAACATACCCAATTGTTGGTTATGCCTAAATATACATTGTTAACGCTTTGGCTGGTTTAGCTACGCTTAATAAAATAATTAACTTCTTAATTCTTACTCATCGAAGAGGGCAGACTGGTATGGAAAGATGTTGCTTAAAAGCAGCAATGGGTGCTTACTAAAGTGGAATATGCCGAAGCTCTCTCCCTCCTCTAATTAAATGCTTAAAAACCGGCATCTAGTACGGAAAAAGTCGATTTCCGTGGATTATTATATTCGATTCATAAAAATAATTTACTACTTTTTTACAGTTGCAATTATCTCTTGATAGTCTTCCAACCCTGCGCTAGCTATTTAAAGAATGGCAGTGGAAGTGGCTATCCTTGAACAAATAAAACTTCATTCCTTTGCGGGGAATAATTCAGAAACGAAAAAAATTGTCCGTGTCTGTTAAGATTTTTACATTTTCTTCTAATTATAAACTTTTCGTATATTCACTCTGGTACAAAACTTGCCGCATTTTAAAACTGAATTTCGTATGAAAAAATTTGGTTTCTTCTTTCCAATAAATATGTATTTCTATTCTTCAGTTTTTCCTTCGAATATTATTTGTTTGGTTGGTTTAATTTTGCGGTTTAATTTTGTAAAACTACAATACAAACAGCTTCAAATAGCGATGAACATAAGTTATAATTTATAAGAAATGGACAGAACAAAATATTTGTATGTATAGTTAGTTGTTCGTGTTTGTTGATCGCCGCTCCCGTAGCCAAGTTCAAGGTGTTTTGTGTTTTTTTAATCTATGTATTTTGTGGTTTTTTTCATTTTTTTTTTTTGAATTCTTGGTATGTTTTTTCACTGTTAGCTTTTTTGCCTCATTGTGGATAATTTGTGGTTTGAAAATTTGATTTTCGTGCAACTAATTGAGTTGCCGCGGTGCGGCGCTCGTTATTTAGTATAATCTGTTTATATTTATATACTGGCACCTCAGCCGACACATTATGTGGGTTACATTTTGGAGAAAGCAATGAATATATAAGCATAAAAATATGTACATATGTAATTCAGTAAAATAAAAAAAAACAATAATAAATAAAATAAAATAAAATAAAATAAAATAAAATAAAATAAAATAAAATAAAATAAAATAAAAAAAATAAAATAAAACAAAAAAAGTGAAATAAATTTAAAAAAACTTAAAGAATAAACAATATTTTAAAAAAATTTAAGACAAGTATTCAATTGAACCAATCAAATTTAAAATAAAAAAATTTAGATAATAAATATAAAAGGATTTAAAATTAGAGTATGTTTTTCGAACATTTAAGAAGGGTCCATTAATATAATTTCAAGTAACACTAAAATATTTGAAGTGAAATTTTCTTCATGATTTCTTTTTAAGCTTGACCTTAAAAAGGTTAAAAATATTATTTTCTACCTTCTACGCACAAAAGGAATTATTGCTCTAGAAAAACTCCTCTCGACGCTTGAACGTAATTTAATTCTTTGTTTAATAGAAAACTTTAAACCTATAATAAAAAATTAAGAAAATAGAAAAAAAAAATTAGACACAAACATAATAAGCTTTGCATGTAGAAAATAACAAAAGCACGCACTACCGTAATTTCGGACAAGAAATTCAAAGAGAATATGCATACGCATAGCTACATACATATCCACACATGTGTGTATGTGTGCATGTCAGCCTGTAAGCAGCTATTACCACAATCGGTTTTAAGCGCGCATTGAAAAGCGAATTAGAAACTGTATATGTAACTACATACATATGCACATACATTTGTATTTACAATCCATATAAATCAAAGCAATTTGAACTGGGTCAGCAGTATTTAACTACAAAAAAGATTTACGAGCTGAGTATGCTTGCATACTTGTATGTGAGTATGTATCAATGTAGATTGGTCACACGTTCATACAAGCATATGTACATATATATGCACGAGTATATAAAAGTATTTGAATGGGTAAAGATATTATAATTTTTTTTTTTGTCTTGACTCTGACTACGCTGAGAATGCAATCAAACAACAAATAAATTTACGCATTTAAGTCTGTAGATCAAAGTAGAGACGAGAAAAAAAAAAACAACAACAAAACACGCAGCTGGCGGATTCGATATGGCACGGTATAACGTTCATATGTGTGCACATATGTTTATTTCTCTAAGTATATGTGTGGCTTCAAGACAGTTAGCAGGGGCAAGCAGGCAAGCGGTCAAGCAAATGCGTTGTAAGCGCCGAGTGAAATAACGCACTCAGTTCATGGTAACAATAATTCATAGTAAAAAGGTAAATAACTCGTAGGTGAAAAAATTAACAGCCGACAGTATGCTGTTCAAAATATTTTATACATATGTACATACCTATGGTCAAACAGCTGTAGCCTATGCATGCGTTACTTTGCAACAAAAAACCAGTTTATCGGTGCGAAGTAAAAATGATATAAAATAGTATATTATATATGAGTGTATATATACATACATGTATATGTATGCGCTTACGTATGTATGTAATGCTGATGTCTAGCTACCCACTACTCCACTGGCATCTCACCTCGCGCACTCAATTTCGTTTGCACCATTTTCATTTGCCTCAATTCGCTGCGTCTTTGGGTCCGCTAAATAAAAATCAGAAAATAAAGCAGTGAAACAGTAAATAAATATAAGAGTATTTATTATACACTAGTCCAAATTGATGTACAGTGAGGTGCAAAAATGTACTATGCTGTTTCCTTTCAAACATTTTCTGGATTTTTCGAGTTAAAACTTCAGTCAATTTCTGAGGCTTAGTCACGTTTAAGTCCACTAGGTGGCGCATAAGTCGCTCAAACCCTGATTTTTTTGCAGTTACATACATATGACGTCAGTGTCATGGTAAAAATCTAACCGTCAGTGCATATATGTATGTATGTTTATATAAAAATTAGTTCTTATTTATTTTTATTAATTTTCCCCGCCTTTCTTTTTAAACTTTCTTTTTCTTAATATAAGAATATTTTTTATACTGCCGACTAAATATTAAATCCAATTAAAAAAAAAATAATTATTAAAATAAAATTAAAAAAAAAATTAATTAAACTTGTTTGTATCGAAAGAACTATGGCTGATGAAATTTATCTTGAAACTGGGAAATTCAGCACAAACTTACATGAAATGAATTTTTTTAGTACAGATTTGGCTGCGAGAAAGCGGCCGTAGCACCTACCATAAAGCGTAATTTTATATAGTGTATAATCTAATTTTATTGTAAATTTACATTTTATAGTTTACTAAAATCCAGCTTTATAAATTATATTTTATTTTACAAAAAAATATTATTATATATTTTATTATAAAAAACTTCACTAACAATTACATATATAA